CACACACACACACACACACACACACACACACACACACACACACACAGTTTAAGTAATATCCCCAACCTCACCCTCTCGCACACATATATCCACACATCAACTCCCTCATATCAACCTCTCCCTCTCACACACACTCTCTCATGCTGTGTCTGTCTGAGACAGCTGTTGCTCACAGTCTTACAGTCATACACAGACTGGCTTTGTTCAAATGGAGAACACACACACACACACACATACGCCCGCACAGTCAGTCGTCATCCTGTTTTCCTGAGCACCCCCCCTCCACAGCCTTGAAACGTGTTTGCCCTCCACGTTCATGCTATCTACATCACGCAGGCAGACAGGATATTTCCTATGGGTCCATCTCCCTCCCTCTTTCATTTGTTCTCTGTTAATTTGAATAAGTGCCTTAATTATTACTGCGCCATGCTTTTGACCTCGGCACAGCCCTGGCAACACCCGCCTCAGTGTCTGTAATACTCAGAAAGGACCGCGTAATGAGAGTAAAGCTGAGTGCCAAGGAGTGAGCGTGCCATCCTTCTATTTTTTGCTCAGGGAAGAGGGTGGCTGTCCCTCCTGTGAGTTTAAGCAGTAGCACTGTTTGATTGATGTTAATGCCATGCACGACATCCGTGTGTGTCTGTGTGTGTTTTAGTTTTTTTCCGTCCTGTGTTGGTGCTATTGTTAGTCTTTCCCGTGCTTCAAAACCACCACAGGCCCACAGAAGCAGCATTTTAATTACCGCTGTGGCCAAATCCGATGCTATATTGGAGAATCACCAGAGACCTGCTGCTGTGGTACTTATTATAATAATCTTTTTCATCTGGCAAATCTAGTGCAACGCTGTAGCCCCTTATTAGGCTATTTTGCTGTTCACTTGACCAAAGTAGTTGAAGTCCACCTGGATTGGTGGAAAAGTGTAAAACAGAGTTGATTTTCAACCCCTAGTGGTCCATACTTATGTACTGTGTAGTTAGTCTGTAGTTAGGATACTCAGCACTCGGTGCCGGTAATAGTCCTGCTAACTGGAAATGATGTTAACCCAAATCAGTCTGCTCTGTCTGATGATGGTTTTGTACTCATCTATCAGGGCTCTGTGCATTAGCTTCTATGGATGTTCCAGTTTTTGGCCAAGATCCCAGATTCGTCCAGGATTCAGTGTGGTGGTTTACATATTTGCCTAACAATCAAAGTCAATCCTGGAAGGAGATACAAATCTCTTTGGGACTCGGTCAGGAAAGGCGGTGTAAAAATCAGCCAAATGAAAACATGCGGTGCGCTCTGACAACCTCCGGTGACTAACGGAACAATTTGGAGATGTTTTGCATGTCTTATAAGATTACGCTGTCCATTTAGATGCAAATGCCAGTCATTGTTTAAAGCAGTCCTAATTAAGTCCCAGCTCTGCATGGATCACAATTCAAGATGACCCTTATTTAGCCTTGCTGTAGCATAAACAGCAAGGCTGAAAAATTAAGATGACGTCTAGATGAGTAAAAGTCTGTCCCATATATCTATTGTGTATATAACAGACGAATGATTAAAAACTCCCACAAAACATTTAAATTAAAAAATAAAGTGTTAAATAAAACTTAGCAGTACTTACCGCAGAGGCTGATCAGATTAATCAGATGCTTCCTCATCAAAACAACTCTCGGGACGGGTTTTTTTTGTGTATTTTGTTTTCTACATCCTGCTGGAAGTAGGACAATGGTACTTTGACCAACATCCCAAAACAGGCAGCTGTAGCTGACAGGCCAGCTAGACCTCACCACTGCTTATTAAAGTTCAGCTCTATTCAGTTTTATTCATACAGCACTACTTCAGAAGAGCAGTCACCTCATGGGGCTTTATATTTTAAGGAACTGGATCACTCCACCGTGTTGGTGCTGTTGTTGCCTTTTAGAATATTTAATTGAATTGTATGATAAATAATATGGTTTTCGTGCAGGTTTGCTAATGTTGGCAGATGACTCCATACACTGCTGCAAACCTGGTCATTTCTAGCTACAAGAAAACCCCCCACATAAAACATATTGGAAGCCCAAATACTAGCTGAGTTTGAGCTTTTCTCCGATTAAAGGTAGAGTGTTAAAAATCTCACCACTAGATGTTACTAGATTGCAGATTGCAGGGTCAATTCTGTTTTTGTACCTTTCCCGACTCATCTGCATAATCCTAGCTTTGGTGGCCACTGCAGGACAAACAACTCTGGCGGCCATTCATCTGTAGTGAGCGTAAACTGTCAGTCCATTGTTTACCTCCAGATGTCCACATCTATTTATTATGACGAGTCTGCAAAACTTTGAAACAAGTTCAATACGAGTCCGTGAGCCAAGAAAGCTCACTTCTGTCCGATGACAGCGATACCGAGGTGAATTGTTGAGGATATCCTGAACTTTTCTGTCAGTAAACGCTGCTGTTTTTGCCGCTGTTAGCTATTGTTAGCTGCTGTTAGCAAAACTTTCTTTGAACTGGATCTAACACTGTCTGACTCTGACACTTAGAAAATAAAGTCTCACACATTGTAGCAATGAAATCAAACAGTTTTGCAGGGGGAAAGTGTGATTTTTAGAAACTTGAGCCTAACATTGGCTGGTATAATATTAGCTTAAAGACGGCTGTTGTTGTTGTTTAGCCTGCTCTTGTTGGCGATGTCCATTTTGCCCACTGTATTCAAGACGACGAGGCAAGATGGCAGTTTCCATAAGCCAGCGCTCCTGTGTGTTTGATTAATTGATTAACTTAAAGTTTATGAGAATGCATCAGTTTGATATTAAATTTTAAAAAAACTAACTGTACCTTTAAGACGTCGCTACCTTAAGACAGCTTTTTTTTCTCCTGATTGTCTAAACATAATAT